AAAGCAGGGGGCGTGACACTAGTCACGTGACCTCGCTGACGCAACAATATACTATGTTGTTGTTGGGCTTAGGATTCTTCTAGAGTAGGTGTCTGTGACTTGTTAACGATACATTCAAGGACAAAAACAGCATACACTTTACTTGTTTTCAAATATATACCTAGGCTGATTCAATTACTTTAGATCCATGCTTTGACGGAATAAAATTATCCTTCGTATCTTTTTTTATACTGTTAGTTTCACTCTAACATATTAAATGTTAGGCCAATGACAGTCGTTAGGCCTATCACATCTATGGTAATTAACTTCACACAGCTATATTCACTTTGCTTTTATCTATATAATACTGTCTGTCTGCTGTTTCCCGCTCATCTCACGCTATTTATATCTTTATTACATAGTCGTCTGGCCCTTTCTATATTCTCGACACCAATTAGTTCTTAACAAAACCTACAATTGTCTGCTTTTAACTCTTATTATAACAAAACTTAAACCAAACAGCCTTCTATATCATGACACAACCATGCAAGTTCTTTATTGCTTTTGATATGATGTCAAACCTAATCATAAGCAGATTTATATAAAGTTGTGTTATCCTTGTAAAGATTTTTTTTCGAGTCTTGAAAATAACTTATTTCACATGGAAGTCATGTTAATAGAATAAAAATGGACACTGAGTTTATAAAAGTTCAAAACAATATCATGATCATAAAATCATTCATTACAGAACTTTTTTGAAGGGTACTAGATTTTATACATTTAATTTTATTGTATTATGAATTGTGGCCAATTCACCACTACTTTTATAAACATAAAAAATTTCATATTCTACTTAGTGATGAAGAGAGGAGTTAAAAGATAAACTACAAACTTAACCTTTTCAAGGCTTCCAAACAATTGTATTTTCAAACAGTCACTTTCATTAAATATTCTGATGATATATTTTAAAGTAAAATAACTGCACTCAAACACATTATCACAGTACTTAAGGATTTCTACCTCAATTATTTAACTCATGGACTGTGATTTCATTTACTTACTTTATCTTTCCATAATGTAACATGGGGTTCCAATAACTGCTTCATAAAATTTTTACGTTTATTTCTGGTGTAGGAGCCTTTCTTTCGACTGAAAAATAAAATATAAGTAGACCTAAAAACAAAACTGAAATATGTGAGAAATGTATAAAAGAAATTTTAAACTTGGGACATAAAACATTGAGTATTACTGTAGACAAAGACAATTAATAGCAAACTTGGGGTTTTTGGTTTGATTTTTATCAAAGCTAATCTAACAGGCACATGCAATAAAAACATAACTATGATAGAGTAAAAAGCAGAATAGGTTTGATTTCATGTCACAAGAATTTGTGTTGTTCAAATAACTTTTTAAATCCACATCTCAAGTGTTTTTTTGAGATTATAATATATAAATTGCTCAAACAAAGTGAATAAGGTACATTAATAGCTGGTTAAGTTTACTGATAATATAGTCAGGCTGGTTATAACAAGGATGTTTTGATTTTACAGAAACCTAGGTTTGGTTGGTTAATTAGGCAAACATATGGTAGATGGCATTACAGTATAAGCTTTGGTATGTGGGTTATCATAATACAAATAAAACAACTTACAAATGAATCTTTTTAAGTTAATGAGGAAAAGATCCTTGGGGCATTGGTTGACACAACTCTTAAATATGGACATTGTTGAAGATGGTTTACAGGAGTATTAGGATGATTATAAGGAAGCATAGCTTGTCACATGAGGATAGGCTGTGATCTTATCTTGTCTTGAAAAGAGAAGAGTTTAAGACAACATAATTAAAGTATTGAAAATTAAGGGTGTGAATAAAAGTGAGGCATGACATATTTTTTGTCTTGAATTCTGAGAGCAGTAGGGCAAAAGGTCATACTTATAATATTTGGAAAGGTCAGATGCATCTCCAGTTGAGACAGTTTTATTTCTTGAATAGGGTGTTAAATGCAATCTACAATGGTAGAGGCTACATCTTCAAAGGATTGCTGAATATTTTAGAAATTAGAGCTGGCTTTAATGATTACTTTTCTGTTTGGTAAGGGAGATCAGAAGACGGTGTTTTTGATGAGCCAAGTCTCCTTTGTTGTCTCAGTCTATATTTATACAAATTGTTATTTGTTTCTAATATAATATTATGAAAAATTAAGTGTTTCATTGTAGATAAATCCAGAACAGCCATTATTCAACATGCTTAAATACAAAGGTTTAGGATTAGTTGTATAAAATGAAACTACTAACTTACTTCACTGCTTTACTTCCTAAGATATATTTGGATCTACCAGGAACACCTATTCTATGAGCTTCAAGTGATTTGTTTTTTGGTACAGATCTTGCACTTTTGTTTTTTTCTTGTTCTTGACTATGAAAAATTAAGACACACAAAACAAAATGTAAAGTTTATAATATACAAAATAAACTTTAAGTAAAACTAAATGGGTATAGAATAATAAAAAATTAAGAGGGGCTTCTAAAACTTTTGACCACTCAGTGAAAACTCAACATCATATAAACTTTATTTTACAATACATAAACTTATTCAGTTTAAAACCTTTGCTTGAACACAGATGAAAAATTATTATGGTATTACTGAAGTATATAGATGAAACTGTATCTACAGTGAATCTTCTTGCATTATATCATGCCAGCTGCCTGAAAGGGTCCAGTTTATCACTGGCCAAATAGATTATACATTTTGTAAGCTCCTATTGTGTCTGGTTTATCTATCTAATATTTTCCATAATTACAGTGAACTGTAAAGAAAGATTATTTTATTGTGTAGTGATAAAGAGTACTTATATTAAAATATACATAGGGCTATAGTGTAAAAACTAAAGCAGCAATGTAATGTGTCCATACTTCATATTACATTCCTCATTTTTAACTGAAATTGAGCCACTCTAGATTACTGTTAATTACCAGATTTCAAGCACTGATGGTTTGCTGGATAATGCTAAAATTTGAAAAGAAGCATAAGTACATACCTAACATCTGCAACTTCACTATTTGCATGATTTTCTTTATCTAGCAATGGAATAAGTATGACAGGTTTCCTAAAAAAAAAATAAAAAATATTTAGTTTTATTCTTACTCCTGTAAACAAACTGTTAACTTGCAGTATCAAATAAATATAGACTGTGTAACAACCTAAAGGATTTTATATATTCACACAAATATTAATTTTCATAACCCACTTCACAAACAGTGTATTAACTTCTACTAATCAAAATTGACATTTTTAGAAATGTACATACACATGTGAATAAAACCCTGCCTACTAAAGAAACTCTCATAAACTTTTCTATATTTCACCAGAAATCAGTTTAACTAAAAAAAAAAAAACATACACCATTTTGCAC